CTGTAGTGGTTGGAAACAAGTCTAGTTTTTTAATTTCGACTTCAATTAGTAATTTTATTGGCTCGCTTGTTGTAATCCGATGATCGACGGTACTGGTTAAAAACGCGTCAAAGTTAGGCGCGTTTTGCGGTCATCTTAGTTGGCAGCAATTGCCAGCTTATGAGTTGGCAGTGCTTCACGTGCAGTAACAGACTAATGGTGGAATTGGTAGCACTGCCGCACACTATTGACTTGTTGCGAGTTTCCCGCAGTATTCAAGAGATGGCGCTGCTTATATTTTGGCGCGCTCGGGAGGTAACGGCTTTTTCTTTTAGCGAAGCAAAAATCATTTTGTTTCCTTTTCTTACATAAGTGGATTTATACTGTTTTTGAGATTGAGTCTGGATATTTATGTTACAATAATTATTATTAATTGAATATCCAATGGCTCTCCCATCATTTTGTATTTTATTTGTCACATTTTATTTGAAGGCCTCTAATTACCTATAATACTTTTTTGCTAAATTAATATTATAGCTTCATTTATTTTATATATGTAATTACATATGAGCATTTATATTTATTTCAATACTAAATAACTGAAATCCACCGAAAATGCTCTTATTTATTGACTTTTATTCGGTATTTAGAATATGCTTGAAAATTTTAATAAAATGTAATTCATTGCTATTTGTTTTTCATAGAACGCTACTATAATTAAAACTCAAATCTATCAGTTGTTGTTAATTTTGTATGTGCAATAGCTACTGCATTCTTGAAAATTTCTGCAGAAACATGTCGGTGGCTGTTTGTTATATAAAGGAATTGATTGGCATTTGCAAATAAAAAAATGGGAATTAAAATATGTGAATAGGACGTACATTCTAGATGCCAAAAAAAAAGTACAGAGTTGAAGATATCGAGCAAGTTGCTTGGGAAAATATATATAGAATCGCTTGAATATTTTGAAGACTTTGAAAGTACCTAATTTGAATGACCTGTCTGGCTTTATGATAGAAATATAGCTCTCTCTCGTAAATATACTTATTTATTTATTTATGTGTCTACAAACATTGACTGTCGACATAGGAGGAAAATATACATATAAGAATTATAGGAAGCATCTTATAAGCTAGAAAACCCGAAGAAGGAGGAAAGGAGAAAATGCATTGTATAGTTCTTAGAAAAGTAGCTGTTTTTTTGTTTAACAGTCTGTTGCTAAGACTTGAATGGAGTCAAGAATCAGAATTGGAATAGTTCTATTGAAATGACAGAAGAGATATATGTACAAGTATCTGCAACTTATAAGGCGAATAAAAGTGTTGGCGCGAGAGATGGCTGTTAAGTGAAGCGTTTAGTAAAATTGTAAATTGCAGATGCTTGGATGCCATGAGTAGAGAGGGGAAGGTTTTTTAAAATAGCTTATCCTGCTACGCCTTCCCTCCCAATTATCCATCAGTTTGTGGAACTCTAGACTTTGCTGCTCAGCTAACCGATTTGTTCTCCTTGCTTGTTACAATATGCGACTTGCCTTGTCTGGCAAGGCATTGGCATAACTTTGGCGCAATTTGAGCTTATTGCCTGCCGTAACCCTCCCGGCCATCATCTCAGTTACTACACGCCTGCCAATCAGACAAAGCTGAGCGCAAGTCGCTCGAGTCGAGGATGAGGCGTTGAGGCGCTGAGGCGATGGCTGCTGCATGAATTATGAGCGTCTGTAAAGATTTATGAATAACAAAAGTATTCAAGGCAAGCAGCAGCAACCACCCAAGTCGACCCCTTTGGCCACTCCCGTACCAACAACAACAACAACAACAACAGAATATAAAGAATTTAAAAGGACCAAGGCTGTGGCGGGGCAATAGAAGAAAGAAAAAAGAAATCTGTCAGCTGTTAAGTTGCGTTATAAATTTCCTGCAATTAGGTTGAATTTCAATTTCGTTTTATGCTTTGCGCTACTTATTTTGATTACACAATGATGAGGCGCCCCGCCCCGCCCCGTCCCTCCCTCCACCCCATCCCTTAAAATGCCAACAAAGTGCTTGTTTGTTTGCCTTTTGGAGCGCGCCCATAAATCAAAAGTTGTTGATTTTTGCATTCGCTTCTTTTTGTTGTTGTTGTATTTCGTTTTTTCGTTATTTGTTGCTTTTACACAACCTATCGACAGCTCTTGTTGCAACTGTACTTTTATAATCGAGTGGAGCGATAGTAGCTGCTGTTGTTATTGTTGTTGCTGTGTTTTCAACAATTGCCTTGCATTGCAGTTTTTCTGCCTCAATGCGTCGCAAACTCATGGATATGCAAACGTTTGATTTAAAAAAAGAAAACAAAAAAAAAACACACGCAAAAAAGCAGCTTTTTATTTTTGCAAACGGAAACGGAAACGAGCAAGGCGACGACTGCTGGCCATCTGAACAAGCATCGCTGTTTCTGAATGTTCATTACCCGCCCGGGCGCAAACAAAATCAATGAATGGTGTAAAAATTAATATCCTGTGTGCAAATACATGCAACGGCGAGAGAAAAAAGGGCACAATCTTAAGCAGCACCGAAGCCCAAATACACTTCACAATACTTTATAGTGGGAAGCAGAATTTCAAGATGGTTTATATCCGCTCCACGAGAGCAATTTCTTATCGATGTAGAAAATGGCGATCTGGAATAATGGCTATCACAGCCAATTATAAACAATGTGATATCTTTAGGATATGTTGTTGTTTATTTATCATTTACGTCAAGTCCTTTTGAGGTCTTCTGTTTCTCTTTTCATTTCGCGTTCCGTATTTAAATCTCAAGACTTGTCTATATTTGGTGGGCAAGAAAGTTTCCTCCATAACGTTTCGGAGCAAATTCTTGGCACTCGTCTAACCAAAGTAATTACACCTGATTCTGTTTTTACACAGTTTGGATTGAACACGGCTTTATTCCATTTGGCACGATTCAAAATAACATATGATCTCAGTCTTTTTTATACGACTTTTTCTGGAACAAATTTACCGTGTAAAAACAGAATTAGGTGTATTCAGTTTAAGGGCTAATTAATTTTTTATTGTCTATTGAGACCAGCCAGTGCTCCAGGTGTTGACAAGAAGGAAGAAGAAAAAGAGAATGACGAGTCGAAAGATGATGATATGGTCTTCGCTATTTGCGATCTATTTGAGGTAGATAAGTAGAGCTCGTCTCACCAAAGTTATTTATGAGCTTAAACGTAAATCAATTGACGATCTGATCCAGGAGGGTTGAGAGAAGCTCTCCTCATAACCTGTTGAAAGATGACGCTATAGGCGTCTTTCTCTTCAAATAGAAATCTTCTACTGCATCATATCATCTCTGGTGGGGACATGAAGAATGCCAAGAAGATGATGAATAGAAATCTATTATTGTATCTTCTCTGCTACTACATCTATTACTTCATCTCATCAACTTGAGTCGTTCATAAACATTTGCATTGGTTGCACGTGCAACCACTTGAATATCTTCATAAAAACGAGGCACTCCATAATCCAACTCTTTCACAAGCTCATTGAAATTTTAGTGCTCGCAAGGAAATACGTTTTCTTTTTCGTGTCAATTCTTAAGCAATTCTAGGAAGAGTGCAGCTTAAGATAGTAATTGGCAATGCTTTGCTTAGTTTAAGCTTGAATCCAAATCGTGTAATAGGCTTTTACGGAAACTTAAGTAGTAGTACGAGTATACAAGTATAACAAAATTCCTACAAAATCGCAAAATAATGGAAAACTCGAATCCAAAGAAACTCTTAAAATATACACGAATAAAAAATAATAAGAATGTTATAGCTCGGTGAGGAATTTTGAAGACTTTTAGAGCGTAGCATAGCCAAAGACCTCTCTAGACAATACAATATTATTCTTAGTTGGACATTTTGTTGTTCCTAGCTACTTGTATAAATAAATAGAAAAATTAAAATTGTGTAACACAAGCTCCGAAGACTAGCAGAGAATGTCCATTTGTGGCAGAGTATTAACATAATTGCAAAAAAAAAAAACCATGGCATGGCAGCAAGGAAAGCAAAAGCAGTAAGAATTGCCAGCAAGGCTGCAATGCTAGTTGGGGGTGGTGGTGCTGGTGGTGCGGTGGTGCAGTGGTGTGGGGGATGGAGACGTGTTGCTGCTTGCCAGCCGGCAGCAGTTTTAATTTACACAAAGCGTAGTCAGGCGTGTAATATGGTGGAGCGGTGGCGAAAGCTGCCACCAAATGCTCAACCGCCGGGCCGCCGAACCAACGCCCCCGCCTCGAAACAGGCGTCATCAGCATTACGCGACGACGGCGACGACGACATTTAAAAAATGCCTTGAGGCAGGCAGCTAGACGAAGGATGGCGAAGGAGCAGGACGACGACAGTGGATGCGTGAAATGATTTATAAAATTGCTTTTGCTGTTACAATTGTAGGGCTGATGAGATGAGGATGACAATGACGATGATAATGATGATGATGATGATGATGTTGCCGAACCTAATGACTGATGGTTATAATTCGCAATTCTGCTTCAACTTGTTTTAAGCACTCGAGTTTCCATTATCCAAGACTCTTCGGCAATATTGTTTATTCAAGTTTTATAGAAGAGCAGAACGCTGTTCTAAAAAGAAAAAAAATAGGATTTCTTATCTCAGAAAGCAGTTCAAGCTCGGCCAGGCGCATGAAGTTTTCCCAACGATTATTATAGTTTTGATTCGTCGGTTTTAGTTTGTTGACGGCATTATTTGCTGAACTCCATAACTGAATAAATCTGCAATAGTGCTAGTTAGAAGTTTTTCCATTCACAGCCATAAATACTTATCTCTGTCTTGTTGTGAAATTTGAAAATTTCACATTTCGTACACCAGAGGTATGCTGAAAAGAACGCTCCATGTTGCTATAAACAGCCTATTCATAACTCAGTCAATTCTGAATGGATTTGCACGAGCTTTGATTTGCTGAGCTGGCACGAAAATGTACTTTCTGTTCCGATCACCTCTTCATGGCCCCTCCCCAACCCGCCGCCCCCGTTAAACACTTGAAG